GGCGCAAAAATTCACAAACACCCCCCCCCCCCGACATTTAATTGTGCATAAACAGTACCCTGAAAAATATAACTTTGTTGATGGGCGCCTAGGGACTCCGGAGTCTACCTCATGTCAGCTGTATATCTGCAGTGCGATATCTAAGGCACTGCTCATCTCTGGAGGTCTGGTGTTAGATTTGGTGATGTCACTACCGTGCCGCTCAGTGTTGTCCTTGCTGGAGGGTCTGACATGCGGAAGAAAAGCCCCTGCCTCTACCAAGATGGCTGCCTCACTACTGCTAGGTTAATTTCTGTCCTTGCTGGAGGGTTCTGACATGAAGCAAAGCCCCTGCCTCTACCAAGATGGCTGCCTCACTACTGCAGTGTTCATTGCCGTCCTTGCTGGACGGTTTTGGCAAGAGGAAGCAAAGCCCCTGCCTCTACCAAGATGGCTGCCTCACTACTAGGTTCATTGCTGTCCTTGCTGGAGGATTTTGACATGAGGAAGGAAAGTGCTGCCTGTACCAAGATGGCTGCCTCACTACAGAGGCACACGGTAGAACAAGACATTGTAGGTTTGGAAATGGGGAAGATCAGCTTCACAGACAATACTGATGACCAGTTCTTTGCCGGCCTCTTTTGGGCACAGCTTCCAAGGTTCAGTTCATCTTTAATAAGTTACGGTGCAAGCAAATGTCTTGGGAAGCCCATCTATGGGGTAATAGTAACCGCTCTCTGACCGGTGGACTAAAACACTTTCTAAACGCCGTTTTTACTTAACTATAGCCGAAGTCATGCGACACCTCAATACCGAGCCTGCTCTACCCTCTCTTTTTTTCATAGTTCCAACAAGGTCCTTCTTCAGGTGTCCACATCACTGCCTGTATATTGTGGACAATTCCTATTGGATGCCTAGAGGAGGGGTCCTCTCAGGATCTAGAAAAGGAGTGACATCAGCACGAGGGGGGCCGTCAGGGACCGGCCAGCATGCTCACATCTGTAGCGCTGGGTTGGTGGTCCCTGCACTCGGAAACAGCATGGACGAGGGACTTGGAAGAGCACAACTTCCTTTAACGGGAAGAAAAAGAAAAAAAAAAACCGCAGGAGGGGCAAAGATGGGAATTGGGTTTTAAATACTTAGCTTAATGTAACCTAGCAAGGTGCAATAAAATAGTCACATGACCCCAAAATACAGATAGCCGTCTCTGAAGGCCCCAGAGCTGGTTCGGGAAAATGTCTAAGGGCTCCTCCTCCTTTTAGTGAAAGAGTTGGTGTGGTTTGATAGGGCAAGGTGTGCAGCAATGCAATGACCCGAGGTGCTGTTCAGTGCGCTGCAAAAACAAAGCAGCACGTCTGGGGAAATTGATGGGATCCCTCAGTCTATAGCCCCCAACCCCCCCCCCCCCTCTAGACGTGCTCCCTGAACAGGGGGAGGAGGGGTTGGGGCCTGAACCTAACAATATTGATTCCCACAAATAGGGCTTCTATCAGGGGAGGAGCATAGATGCCAGAAAGCATAGAGAGGGGATTTTCTTCCCATTTCAATAGAGGTTCATTGAAGAGCCCAATATAGGTATATAGTCATGAAAGTATAGAATGTATGGACTGGCATTTCATTTTATACCTCACATCTTCATTGAGGCCCAGTCAAAGCTCAGGCCTCAATCCTATTGGGACTTGAAAGTTGCTCTTCACCAATAATCCCTATCCAACTTGACAGAGCAATTTTACCAAGAAGAACCATGGCCAAAAACTGTAGGCTCCAGATGTGCAAAGCTGGCCAAGACAAACCTCAAAAAGGCTAACAGCTGTAATGGCTGCCAGAAGTTAGTACTTTCAAGTATTTATTTGGGGGATGAATAATTATGCGAACATGTTTACGTCTGTCTCACCATAAAAATTTCACACATTTCTACAAAGTGCGTCGAGTAAAACAAAATGGTAAAAACCCTAATAAGCATATTTCACATCCCGGTATTAAAGGAGAACTATGAGGGGGGTGCTTTTCACTCACCTCATAGTTCTAGCTGACAATGAGACTGTCACAGGTCGGCTCAGTAGATCGGGAGGTGAGCGAACACATACCGGCGTTCGATCACCTCCCGATCCTGTCACGGCTCTCTGCCGTGACAGGGGAGGGGCTGAATTCCCCCCTCCCCGATCCCCCAGCGCTGACTGGCGTAACGGACGGGGTAAGGGGCGGGTACAGCTGGCTCTGCCTCTAGATAGGCAGAGCCAGCTGTCACTCACGCAGCTGGGCGGATCCCGGCACAATTGTCGGGATCCGATTCAGCTGCGGCGTCTCAGTATACCGCGAGCTGTAGCTCCCTATATACTGAGCCTAGGGTGACGGGAGGACGCTAGTTTGTGTCCTCCCGTTACCCTAAGGAGAACTATGGGGAAAAGCCCCGACCCCATAGTTCTCCTTTAAACACTACAAAATGTGAAAGTCAATACATATGCAGTATTTCTAGTACATTAGGCAGGCCACAGATGTAGGAGGTCAAAGAAGCAAAACAATCTGACCACCAGAAGGTCCGCTATCCTATTGACATGTATAAGCCGCTGAACGTACATGGATCACCAAGTCAATTTCCATGTCCGCTTATCGGGAGGGGGGGGGGGGGGGACGACACACATCCCATAC